ATAATCCTCTCTTTTTTAAACCTGTTTCCACCCATGCAAAAATTTCAACCTGAAAACCGGGTTCTTTTCAACTCATTGGCTAAATTTTCTTTCTAGCCAAGGAAGATTTGGTTGGATGACGTGCTGACAAGTATCACACACATACAGCACACACATTATCGTCTTAGGTTAATATTCTTCGTAGCTAAGGAAGCATTTGGTTGGTTTATGTGCTGGTTAGGTGACTAAAACACACACATCGTTGTCTTTGGCAATTTAAGGCTGGACCTACATCTAATTACAGTTCTCAACACAAATTTCAAATCCCAGATTTCATCTTTTTTTTTTTTTTTTTTTTCATGAAAATGACACAAAATTAGAAAGAAGTAGAAGCTAATCCAATGTTTAATTTCTATGGAGAGTTTTTTACAATTTTTTTGTCTCTCATGGGCAAAGTAAATTCATTTTAATTTTGTTCCCAACTCCAGAAGAAAATGATATTAATGAGTATAATAATATATCAAAGAAATATGATAAGATTTCATTTTCAACACCAAAATGTGTTCAATTAATAATAAGTACCTAGCGTTTTCAACACCATATCTTCTACAATTAGCTAAGGGTATCCGTATCATGCCAGCATTTGCACATTAGAGAAATGCTAGCACTCGGACCTCCATTAGTCCAACTGTAAATTTTTTATTTTAATCTGAAAAAAAAAAAAAGACTAACAAGGAGAGAATTGTTTGTGCACTCGTGCCCACGTCAGTGCACATAGCACTCCTCTTGCATATTATTTTAATTAACTACTTTGTTTTATGTTTCAACTGAAGTTCAGAAAAGTAATGCTATATTTTAGCAGATGAACTATTTTCCATCTGGGTCACTAATTTCTAAGCCACCTGCAATTCCCACCTACCATTCTTAAGCTAACAGCATTTTTTTTTTTTCATATACCCGTCAATTATATTTCTCTTGATCCATAAGTTTGAATGGGGATTACAACAAATATTTAAGAGACCTTAGTCCCACCACAACAATAGAGCCAATAAATTTAGGAGAAGAGTACATATCTCAGTTCAAAAGAATTTGTTCTAACATAACATCAGAATGTGCAGAAGTCATACTTTACCAGATGAAATACAACCTAAGGATATGGAATTTAGTACTCCCTCCATCTATTACTAATTTTTTTAATGAGATCCATCTATAACTAATTTATATGTAACTTTAGATTATACTTTTATATTGTATATGAATGAAAATTGAAAATATTTTTATTTCTATAGGCAGTTCTTTTCTAGTAGTTTCAATATTTGATCTAAGAATATCATTCGTATACTATGTAAAAGTATTACTTAAATTTACATTCAAGTTAGTTATAAATGACATATAATTTGAGACAGAGGGAGTACTAACCATGTACATGTCAATGATTTTATTCTCAAGGTGGAAATGACCCTAATTTTCATAAGTAGTAGCAATGTCCACAACTCTTAATTCACATCAACAACAATTTAGATCTTTATCCATGTCATTTTATGCTACAATTCTATACTAATATTTACCAAAACTGTAGTAGTGTTGAGGCTAGTGTAGAAGAGCTACCCGTTCCTCGATTGCGTTTCAAACATAAGCTGATCATGTTTCAATGTCATTTTCTGGCAGGTATTTCTTTTGTGCTTGTTAGCTGGCTGCAGCATCTGTTGGTTCAACACAGTATGCTTTGTCTTATGCATTCGGAATTTCCCAACCAACAGAGCACTTGCATTATCCCTCACCACTAGTTACAATGGTGTAAGTGCAGCACTCTACACCCTGGTTGCCAATGCAATAAACCCTGATAACGACACGCTATATCTCTTCTTAAATGCTTTACTGCCTCTCTTCGCATCTGGCTTAGCACTCATCCCAGTCCTCCGTCAACCGCCTTTGCAGCCTCTCTCTGCTGATGTCACTCGCTATGATTCCTTCATTTTTATCATCCTCAACATAATAGCTGTTATCACTGGTTTATATCTTCTCTTCATGAACTCACTAGCATCTGAGGCATCAGTAGCACGCATCCTTCTTGTGGGTGCTACAATTCTATTAATCCTACCTTTGTGTTTTCCTGGTATTGTTTATGCCAGGGCCTGGGCACGGCAGATCATCCATAACTTCCATTTTGACCGCTCAACCTTCAGCTTGGTTGGACCTGATGACCTTGAGCTCCATAAAGATCTCCTTGGAAATGATCATAACAATGGCTCGAATGGAAATTCATGTTGCCTGATAGAAAATGAGGGGATCTTTGGGAAGGTGATGGAGAAAGACAGGTTAAGAATGCTTGGTGAGGAACATCCAGCCAGGTTGCTGGTGCGTAGGTGGGATTTCTGGCTATACTTTATGGCCTACTTCTGTGGTGGAACAATAGGCCTAGTTTATAGTAACAATCTGGGACAGATTGCACAGTCACTTGGATACTATTCCCAGCTTAACTCACTTGTTACACTCTACTCCGCGTGCTCATTCTTTGGCCGTTTGCTTTCAGCTGCACCAGATTTCCTCCGTGAGTACGTATTTACCATTAAAAACAATGCCTCGTGCAGAATATAATTATAACAATAAAGATTGAGACAGGAACTTTAACATATTGCATATTAGATTTCATTAGATAGAGAAAATTAAGCATTTTCCATGAAAGATGCATATTACTCTTTCTCAAACAGGCCTGGATGGCCTTATTATAATTCATTCTTTATGAATTTTGAATATTGAGGTTATTACTATCTCTCTCTTCATGTATGTTTATGCCTCGAGGAAGTAAGAAAACTAAGCCTTGAAAATTGTTACCAATGCAGCAAGTTGTACTTTGCGAGGACTGGATGGCTAGCACTTGCTCTGGTGCCCACACCAATAGCTTTCTTGCTGCTTGCCACATCAGGTAGTGAGGGAGCACTGCGAGCAGGCACTGGCTTGGTTGGATTAAGCTCTGGCTTTGTAGTCTCAGCAGCTGTGTCAATCACCTCTGAGCTATTTGGACCAAACAGTGCCAGTGTCAACCACAATATCCTCATCACCAACATCCCTATTGGATCACTCCTCTTCGGCCTCCTTGCAGCCTTGATATATGATTCCAATGCGCACAGTACAGTGCAGGAAGACTTGCTGGGAGCAACCATGATATGCATGGGTAGGCATTGTTACCTTATCACATTCATATGCTGGGGATGCATTTCTTTGTTAGGCCTAGTCTCAAGTTTTGTGCTTTTCCGAAGAACTAGGCCTGCATATGACCGCTTCGAAAGGAATCGAAGTCAGACATAGATTTCTTAGATCATTAATAGAAAGCTTTTTGTTATTAATCGGATAAAATGTCTTTGATACAATCCAAAATTCAAAGAAAACAGAAAAAAAGTGAAAAAAAAAAAAAGAGTATGAAGTTAGATTGAACTCACAGAGATATGCATATTCCCTGTGTCCAGGTACCATTAGGTACTAGGTTTGACATATGTTTTTGAAATAAGAATATGAAGTACAGCTTCCCAAGAAGTCTCCAGAATTAAGATCTATATGAAAAATTACGATCATCTTCTCACTATCAGTTTCTTAGTTACGATGTTCCAAAGACTGAGTGTGGATTTGTGGCAATTGCTGCCCTTGATGCGAAGCAATGTTTGAGCAAACAGGTACTTCATTCGGTATGCAGTTCAGCTAAACCTTCACTGAGACTTGCTTTAAGGATCCAACTCAATTAAAGCTTTGACTAAATAGGTTGAGCAAGAAAGAGCTGTTTTCTTATTGGAAAATTTTTTTCATTTCTTTCTTCAAATGGTATCTGGTGAGGAATGTTGAACCAAACAAACCAGATGATTGCAGTGCATGGTGCTGCCGGTATCTTTAACCCCAATCACTGGTGCTGAGCATTTCAGCCTTAGTCTTCCGATGCACATCCATCAACTTATAGCTGATGATGACATGCAACAACCTGCAATTCCTTCTCAACTTTTGCTCAAAAATTACAACATGAGAGATGTTGATGTATAAATTTCAGGTATTTATGAAAATGGAAGACATGGCACCAGTGTAGGATACAGAGAAAGATCACCTGATTTTTGTGTCAGTTAGTTAATATTTGTTATTCACTTATTCTTTTTGTCTGGAATTTTCGTCCCCAAAGTTAAAGTAACATAACTACAATTGGAATTCAATTTCCCATTCAGGCCATGTAATATCCTATTTAAGGTAAAGCATACTTTATTGGATTTTACAGGATATCAGCAAATCCCTAATCATGTGAGCTCTCATATTGCATGAAAGATAAATGCCAAACTTACCTTATTGTTATATGCCAAGACACCCTTTTGAAAAGCTTTCCATGGCCAAAGCAGAGCTTGCAGCCTTCAGCCATGAGAGCAGAACCAAACAACAAACAACCATCAAAAGTGTCTTGCAGGAACCACTGCTCCAATTGAAAATGCCCCCATCTCCATTAATTTTTATACATCCTAGAGGATCGTCTATAAACACAGGTACTAGCTACTTCATATTAAGAAATTAAAACATGCTTAGAAGGGATAGGTTTGTTAATTAATTAACAGAGAATTCTATTTGGAGAACTTGGTGATAATATGTGACAGAGCTGCAGCAAAGAAAGGGTAAAATAAGAAAATGATTGGCATCTATTTATTTAATAAATTAAATACATTATGCACCAGTAACTAAGACTAAGATTACAATGCATTATTGAAAAATATATAAGAGATCTATCACCATTTGAGCACAACCCAACCACTGAGTAATTGTTCACTTGTGTGGTAAAAACCTCTGAAGAGGTTTCTCGTGCCATGAGACTGAAACTTTTTAGACGCAAGGGAAAAATAGATGATATTCTTTCCTGAAAATCTAGAAAAATATATCCTATTTTCCATGCCTGGAGTTGTTGCTGTCATGGAGAAAGATGAAAAATAGCTAAGATACAATGTTTTGTCCCTTAGATCTTCAAGTTCAATTCACGCCATTTCTGAGATATCAAGATCAAAAACTGTAATCCATTCCCCGAAAGATCTAACAAAGACTGAGAGTAGCTTCCCATCACATTCTCACAAATAGCTTCCATGAAGGGAGTCACAACTCACAAGGGCAATGAAGGTTATCCATGACTTCAAAAATTTCTAAATCTTGAAAGACTCCTAAATTTCCATGCAAACCAGGAAAGTAGAAATTTCCCCTGAAAGAACGCTGGAGTATTGTCATCTGTCGCAACTAATTCATAACTAGTGAATGCAAAGAAAGTAACCCATTCTCCATCTTCTAAAGAGATGATGTCAATGTCAAATGCAACTTCGTCCTCCGTACAAACCAAAACAGGGACACACTCTGAAGAATTTGATGAACATGAGAAAGAGCAGCTAACAACAACTTCGCACTTGTGGAGCATATCTGGAAGTTGGATGATTTTCTTTGACAAAGAATTCCAAAAGAATATTGAATTTTCTCCATGTAGTCTGACACACCAACATCTTTGGAGTAGAGAATTCAGAAAACCTTTGAAGAAACATCAGGGATACTCATGGGATACCTTTTGTCATGCAATGGATCAATGAAATTGCAAATTCCGTTTTGACGGAACATGAGCCAAGGAGGTAACAGATCATAGAACTCAAATTCATTCCAGGCAGTACTCGTCCATTGAACTGGAGGTGCAGCTAATCTGCATGTTCTGTTAACAGCCCGGAAGCTTGTGTAATCATGTAATATAAGGCGCCTAGAAATTACAGAAAGCATATGTAGAGAAAGCCTGGAAAAGTTTCCTTCTCTTTCTGAAATCTCATCCTTCTTAATCACTTCATGTTTCAAAACCTCTCTAGTCTCATGCTTTATCTCCTTTGTTCCTCCATCTAAGTAATCCTTCCAGAAATCTGGCATCAGACAGGTAAGTAAAAATCTTGATGGTGGTAAATTGGAATAGGGTAGAGACACATGAAGACGCTTGTCTTCCAAGTTGAATGAGTAGAAGCTTAAAGTTTCAATGAAAAAATACACATTGCTCCCTTCAATTTGAGACCCAACAGCCGGACAACAAAACTGAGATCCACTACTGATAAAGAATGCGATGTCCGAGGCACCGTCTACCATTTCCCATTCCAATCTTGAGAAATCAGTCTATAAACCTCCGCGGCATTTGGTTCAAAATAAACTTTGGAAGGTATCTGTCATAGTCCCATATGAATCATAAAGAGTTGATCACTAGATCCCATCATCTTAAAATAAAAAGGCATTCTGAAGATTTCCAGGAAACGGGGTATCTTCACAGGTAACAAATTCATGACAAATTGATCTGAATAATGGTAGTTAGATCAAAATTTAAGATGAATTTGTAGTAATCATTGATCATGGTATCAGTCCCATATGGACTCACTTTATTGATAGTTGAGAAAACTGTTCCAAAATTTTGTCATAAAATTTAGTTACAATAATCATTACTCTTATCATCCTAAGTATTCTTGTACCTAATGGAAGGGATTCTAGTAAATGAATTCAAGTATGCGTATCTAATTCAAGTTATAATTTTATGGCTTGTATCATATTTCCAGTGGTGGCTCCCAATGGGTTTTCAGAAAGAGTAGGAGAGTAGAAGCCACCACTCGCTCCAGGGACCCGAATATAATTTTAAATAGGTTTGAGCTTTTTTTTTTCTTTCTTTCTTTTTTTTGAACGGTAGGGGTCGGAACCCACGTCTCAAAGTTATCCTGAGAAAGCCTTTATAAAAGATTAGTAGGAACTAGGCTAATTTAACTGAGTTTTATATTGTTTTCTTGGGTATTTTCTAAGGAATTAAGTGACTTGGGATTTCTAATTCTAAGGATAACAATTTGAATCCATATTCCATTGGAACCCAAAATCCCTAATGAAACGCACTTCGCCTTCGGTTCAGTGATGTCAAGGTACGTACAAGAGCATTCCCCTCCCAAGCCAATGGTTCGAATACGCCACTTGCAAATTTGTTAAAAAAAAATATATATCCCTAATGAAACAATATAAAAGCCACTTTTCCGACTGCACTTCCACGATCAAATCTTCCTCTTGCTTTCTGGATCCAGGCATGGTCTTTCTTTTTCCGGTACATGTTTGCTTTTCTTCCCCAAGATCCATTAAACCTCAACCGCAATTCAATCTCTCCATTCCAACGGAAGAGAAAGAAAATGGGAAAAGAGAAGAAAGGAAGATCCACAGCACTTTCGTCCCCCACATAATCTCGTCCAATTCCTCCACTCGCAAGTTATTCCTCATCCCCGTTTCTTCCAGAAACACTTGACCTTTTTTTTTCATTTTTTCTTTTATTTGTTTTTTGTTGACAGGTAGGAAATATACCAGATCGGCATTGTTCTCGCTAACTAACTAATATTCCCACCATTGTGTTGGCTGTTATAAATATGCCAGTAAGCATGAACTGCTCAGTTCTTCCGCTGATAATTGTAGGTACTCTTCCTTTCTCTCCTCCCAATGGTAATATTCACCATATTTCTTTTCTTTAGGGTTCTTGCACATAATCTGTGTTAAATTGCTATCCAATTTTGCAATGCTTGCGTTGTAAGTGTAGTTGGGTTTATTTCTTTTTCTGTTCCTTCTTATAATATTGCTTTATTTCATTACTAATAATTAGAATTGCTTGTTGTGAATTAATGATGATTTGTTATTTACATTTATTTTGAATTTTTTTGGCATGTTAATGCTATATATGTAATATTGCTTGTAGTGTAGTATTCAATCCCTTGTTATGGTTAAATTTGGAATATTAGTAGCTTTGTGTCATTTTTTCCCTTGATGTCTATGGCTGCTACTGAT